TTTTTAGTTTCCACTCTCTTAAAACTGTCTTCCTTTATAAGGGTTTTGAGTTTGGGGTTAGTGCATCCTTGAGTATCGGTTCAATCGCTGATATTCGTTCTTGAAATAGTCTAGTAGACACCAAAGCTTTGTCGGGGAATGTTCTTTCTTTACTCCAACAGTGTGAAAACCGGTAATACATGGGATCGCGCAAATATCATTTTAGCTTTGCACCATGAAAGCCTGCGTGGAGGTGCGTGAGGTGTTGCATGGTCTGCAGGAGCGGTTCATTCGTACTGCGGAGCAATTAGCGGAAGCTGAAACGCTGCTGGCGGAAGTGGGTGGCACCAGTGCCTCGGTACATCCCTCTGCTGTTGCCTGCAGCCATCTATTAGCTGCTCTTCGCACCTGCACCGAAGGTAGTAGCGGCAGCGATGGTGGCTCAGCGGCAGCAACACAGCAACGGCTTCTCGCACGTCTGGAGGCATGGGTTGTCACACAATTAGCGAGGCGTGACTCGGTGGAGGCGCAGTTGCGACAGCGATGCGAGGATCTTGAGGTGGAATTGGCAAAAGCTTCTTCTGATGTAAGTACTCGAACTTGTCTAAAATAAACACGTATTAAGATAGGTGATTTGTGTCTCCCGCGTTCGCCACTGCACAAATCATTTTCTTGCTTAAAGCCAAGCATAATAAAACATTGTACTCCAATTAAGGTATACTTTTTAAAGTTAAGGAATTAGTGAATGAAAATCAATGCTCATTCAGCGACTCAATGCGGTGTCAGGTCACTGAGACGACGCTCTATTGTGTTTCCTTCATGATGAGCTTAGCTTCAAGTTAGATTCACTCTAGCTCTTTTAAGTCGGAGGCGACACTACCTTGTAATACTTTGGAAGGAATGCTGCATGTGCCGATAAGTTGTTCAAAGGACTATCATCCTGACACCGGCTTCCTGTGTATGCCAACAAGGAAGTACTACGTCTCAACAGGGACCAAAATGCCTTAAAGTATTTTGAGTAGTCAAGACATTAGTTGGAGGTAACAGGAAATGAAAAGATCGCAGACTCTTCTGTAGGTTTATGCTTTGCGTGCAGCACGCTGTGCTTGATCTTGAGGCCAAGTCGACTCCTTTTAATTCTGTTCCTGACGTGCAGTTCTGCTGTCAGCCTCCTCCGTAGATCCACTCAACGTGTGTCAGATGACTTGGGAATAAATTTTGTTCCTTCAAATGCGTACTCAGTAGCACGCTCTGTTTCCAGATTGATTTCAGGGTTCTCAAGTCCAGTTTGGAGGCACAGAAAACCGAACTGTCAGATCTCTGTCGCAAATTGGAGAGTACGCAGGACGAATTGGAGGCAATCAGAGGTCTCTGCCCAAACCACGTATGTTCCACCAATATTCTCGCCTAACTGTCTCAAAATGTAGCAAAACGTCCTCAGACCATCACCCATGTTACTGACGGTAGATGAGTAGTTAGTGGACAGCATTTTAGCAGTGCTACCTTTACACAGATCATTTTGTGATGGGCTGAGTAGGAATGCCGCTTTCGAAAGATCGTTTTCTAACTGGCGTTTCCTGTTGTTTTTTTGTGTACGACTTTAGTTGCCTGATGCTCACTGCAATGGGACACGAATCGACCTGCTAGAGACCATATGAGGTAGACAGACGGGCAGAGAGAGAGAGGGAAAGAGAGAGAAGACGATCACTTCCTTTTCACCCTCCTCTCTCATCGTGTGTCACCACGCTAAGTCAACTTACCCATTGCACGTAGTCTCTAAAGTGTCATTTCGTATCGTTAATGGTCATTTTTACTACTCTACAGATAGTGTGGTGCTGTTTTACATTATCATGCATTTTTAATAGTTCCTATTTACACCTGGATTGTCTGAGCTACCTTGAAAACGTTTTGCACTGCATCACGACCAACTCGAAAAGCACCTCATTCCTCATATGCATGAGTTGTACAAGTTTTGTGGTGAAGGCAGCGCTACGCGTCACCGGTTTGAATGTCTTCTTTCCCGAGTAAGGCGGCACCGAGATCATCATGCTTGCACGAACAACTGTTTTCAAGGGCTGATGTCATTCGAACAGGGATTGTGTGACATTGTTAACGTCATAAAGTTGCCAAATCTTTCCTGTTTACGGTGCTATTATTAGTTTGGCGTTGCGGTGAATAAAGCGCAAGTTTCACCTCACAATTCTCATCACGCTATTGACACGACTTCACTCAGGAAAGGGCTCATGGAAAGTGTGTATGAGCAGCTAGGAGGAGCGATTTTGATTCACGGTATTACATGGAGTCTCCAACCTGATGAGTTAGCCCAAAATTACGTGTTTACGTGGCGACACCACAATCAGAGCACCCACTTACCCACTCTATGCCAACTCCTCACCTCACCAAGGTAGCAAGTGGAAATAAAAAAGTTCAGCATCTCATCTGTTGATGAATTTAACGAGAACTTCACCACTTCCATGGAGTTCATTCTTTGCCAACCCGCTGGCCTTTAAATATCACCAAATTTCCTTCCAGTTGGAGTAGCTTGGACCCGACATTGTCGCACTAATCAAGCAGATTACGCCTGTCAAATGGGCACACACACTCATCCACTTCCACGTAGAGTAGTAGTAACCTCCAGGCGCACATGTTTCCCAACAATCTATTTTTGACACAACAGAAGTTAAGCCCTTCATATTTGAAATAAAACCCGTTGACTGAAGGCTTGAAATAAATAGTTTTGTTTTCGATTTTAGAGTTCAGACTATGGACATTTCGGAGCCGTTAATGGCCCCAAACTCTAGCCAAGTAGACAATTGTCACTCGTCAATAACACCGATCTCCACTCCGTAACTGTTTAAACACCCCCTTCCCCACTGCCTCCCTTGCATCGATTCGAACTCACGCGTCTATCTTTAACCACTTTTCGACTCTTCTTAGCTTTGCATGCCGCAGCACATCCAATCGCTGTGTATACACAGCCAAAAGCTCCCCTCCTCCTCCTCCTCCTCCTCCTCCGCTGCCCGTTTTGTATCCTCCCCACCTCTCGCGCTTATGTGTGTGCGTGTGCGCTTCTCCGTGTGTTTACTCTCCCCTATCTCCCTCTCACTCACATTCTCTCATCTGTCCATTCTCGCTTGCATACAATGCCATCACTACACGTGCGTGAAAGTAAATTTTCGTACACATTTGGATTACTTGAAACGCCTATAATAAACTGGTCACTTAAATCTTCTCAGTAACGGCAATGAGGTGCAGGTTGGCAGACGGTCTCGAAGGCAAACACAAGCAACATGCTAGCGCAACTTAAGGGGCATTAATGGGTGATAAAGTTCCTCTCAATGGAATTGTAAACTTTGTTCCGAGTACTCGCAACACCAAGCGAATCTATATCAAGAGGTATCTCAGGCTTGCTCGACCTCTTATCACACCTCCCATGCATAGCGTCATCATTCACCACGTCCCTTCAAACAAAGTGCAATAATCTGCAATGGAAAACATCTCGATGCTAGCGCAAGTTGGTCAACGGATGACACAGGATTCGTCGAACTCTCGCCAATTGCAGCGAAGAACTCAGCCAGCCGCGAAGACCACAGACAATCCTACGTCAGACTAGCATTTCACCACCAAGTTGACTCCTCATTTATTTCCTCATTCTATGTTCGTGGTAAACACCAAGAAAAAACAACACTAATCTGTGAATCTGTAATCAGTTTCGATTCATAGGACGGGTATCACGAACTTTGTTTAGTCAGCTTAAAGCACTGTCGCATAACCCTCTTGAGTAAAAACGAATACCACACCCGAAACCACATTTACAAAATAAGCTCTTAATGGGTGTACATTCCACAAATATGGTAGGATACTACACTTAAATCAGTCACACCTCCAGATTTCCCTCCATTGGAGCAGCAATGCGGGTGTGAAATCAAACTGACAGACACGTCTACCATTTCAACTGGTCTTTGTCGATCGCCCGTGGTCCCAAGGAAACAAATCCCTGCCCGTCTCTGATCCAAAAGTCACGCACCGCACCTCCCCTTGATGACCACAGGGGGAAATGCGAGGTCCTGTGTGTCCGCAAATAGTGGCAAACATCATGCGGAAAACCACCATTTAAAGGCATCTCGCTAGTGTTAAAACAGTAGCAGTCGTCATTGCAAACACAGCTCACACAGCATGCCACACGCTTTTTCCACTCATAAACCAGCAAACCTCCTCCACCAACTTCCTATTGGCTAAACCGGTGGAATTGAGCACGTTACGCATCGCATAGCCAAGTTAAACACGTGCATAACGAAAAACTGAAAGTGAAAAATTGGTTAGACAAATCGCTACGTAGAATCGCGTTTAAGACAATATCAATAGATTAGAAGAAATGCCGAAAAGGTATTCCTAGATTAGGTTCGAAGTGCATAATAATTGTTGCATTGACACTCTCACCGCAGGCCAAAGAGAATTTTGGTCAACTTTCTTGACACTGCAGGTTGTCGAGACATGTAGTGCAGTTAGAGTCTTTGTAGAATTTGGAAGCATCAATGATAAAAGACCGTGGTGAGCGGAGGCATCAAACAAGGACGAAAGACTCGTGGCTGAAGAACGTTTGGTGGTGCATAGCTCATAGTGCAGTGGAGCCAGAATTCCTCGACCTTTTTACCATGACTATACCCATTCAAGTAGAACAGCAACTCCACCACTCCTCCATTTATAGCCCATTTAGATTTACAAATTTAGCTGCCACTATTGACCAGTCTTTAACTGCACTAAGG